ATGCGGGCCCAATTTTTTTCTTTCGTTCCGAGGACTGAGCTTGAAGCTACACCGCCATGAATACAAAGAGGAGGCAAGATGGAACACGAAATTTGTAATTTATTATTTCAAGTCAACTTTCAAGAGAAGTTGGCAGAAAAGCGCTCAATGTGTGATTTGAGTATAATAAATAAACGTTCGCGCTTGGCACGCCAAGGCACAGCAAAATATTGCGTATACCTTATCTATAACGAATCCACAGTGTCTAAATAGGTCGCACGCTTCAATGCAACTTCAAAGCCACTGCTCAGAGAGAGATGGTTAAGAAACATTGAATGGTTTTTTTCAATAAAGTGGTACTTCATATTTCCCACTGCTGTTATAGTGAATATAATTAAAACATGGTTTTGTGCACGACAGCAACATTGTAATGAACAAAGTTTAAGCCTTTCTGACCAACAACACCGATGCGAGCCATTGATTTATGTCTTTTTCTTCTTGCAGAAGCAACCGTTCGAGTACAGGTTCACGCAAAAAATAATTGGACTTGCCATGTCAAGCAGAAATATCGGGGGTGCATCAAAAGAAGTGCACAGTTTAAATGGTGAGTCGCTCAATACGCATGGGGAACCTACGAAACCATGAACTTTGGAACAAATACCTTGTTCCTGATAATCACTCTGTTTAGGTTACTTCCGCTGTGCGTTCAATAGACGCACCTGACATTGTAAGAAAATACACTTCAAGAAACATGCAAGCGTACTATGCCCTATAAAACATCTCTGTTGCTTAGCGAGAAGACCTGAGCCTTTCTGCGTCTGGCTCCCTCCTTTTCCTTACTAACGGGAACCCGGAGCTTCAACCTTAAAGCTGTACACCGACGGAATCCCTTCCTTTCTGCCCTCTCATTCGTGTAAACTAACTCATTAAAAGAGAGCATGTAATAATGAGCCGTTCTCCTAATGAGTGCATTGTTTAACAAGTATCCGCCTCGTTTCACGCTTACAAGGGCAGTGTGTGGCCACGAGAAAAATGGTGGACGGTGATGTCGTTTGCAGTTTATCGCCATCGCTGCAAGCAGCACTCGTGTAGGTGTAATTTATACAAGATAAAATTATTCGGCGCTGACTCCATACTTAGTTCCCGCCCACGAGGCACCTGAGATAGTGCCTTCTGCAGTTGTACGTGCTAACTTTTCTTTGACATTTTGAAAACAATGTAAGAGTGGGAGTTTTAAAAAATGGATAAGAGCACCGTTCCACCGAACGTTGTTCAACTATACCCACGAGTGTAACTTGTTTGCTTTAGGTGTTAAGAGTTCTGATTTTATATATACGCAACATATTCGCAAGGCCTGATGGCAAGGTTGCCCATACTATATTTTCTTTTCCTCGTGTCGCCAATATTTTTTGTGTTCTGGAGGAATGCATCGGCAGCGACGTGCTTCCAGTTCTACATATCTCTGTCAGGCTACCCTCGGTGTCCCCATCTGTACATTCTAACCGATGTAGGCCGGCCAGCAACAGAGCTTCTATGTTCCTCGTGACTGCCTCCTGTCAACCGACGGCTTGTACGTCACACTCAGTCTGATGTATGACGGAGGGGAGCATACTATTCACGAGGGTGTGGTCGTCTCGTCCGTGCTGCTTCGTTGACGCAACCGTCATCATGGGCTCATCTCGTCGGCGGTGGCATGGTGTCTCGCCGAATTCCCGCGAGAACGGGCATTCCGCCTGAGCGTGACATTCGCTCATTTATGATAGAGCCTCTTTGTACACGTTGCATTCTTTGCCTTTTTTATTTAGAACCAAGGGGTAATATATACTTGTCGTTTGATTACCACTTCTGTGACCAAATCTCCTGGCCACGTGGTATTCTCAGACAGGGAGCTTGAGGTTAACCAGCACTTCCCTCCAGACAGCCCAGAGCAAGTGCGTTTCGATTGATGATCCGTCGAACACACGGAGATCAGAGCGAGTGGTGTGCAGCAGCTAACTGAACTAAGGCTTATTGTTCGCATGGAACGATTGTGGCTTTTGAAGTCAATACTCAATGTCCAAAACTTTCCAGCCATCATTATGTTATTCATTGATATTTATTTTATTGATTTACAGTACCTTACTTAGCCCTCGAGGGGCATTGTGTAGGGGGGGCGGTACAGATATTATGTTAGAAAAATATATATACATGGGTGATTCCACGAGAGATTGACACGGGTCAAAAAATTGATATTTTAGATTTCATTGAGTATTTTATATTTTGTGCACCTCTCCCCAGGTAGCTCGAAAGTCAACTTTGTTTTATGATTAACAGCATAACTTACGAAAAAAAAATATCAAACTTCACCAACATGGAGGCATCAATTTCGTCACCTGTCAGTTTCGAAAATTGCACATGCTGTAAAAAGACAAATATTTTTGTTTCAAGGAAGGTATTTTTTTACCCTAAATGCATGTCTAATGAAGAATGAATTCATACGGTTTCAAGTTTGTAGATCTTGAGAAAATAGCTTTTAAAAAGGTGTAATTTTGCTACAGCTTAAATTGAGTTACGTATTCCCCATTTTTTTCTCCGAAAGTAATGCAAGCAGTGTTTTCAAACTTGACACATTTTAAGGATATAGTGTGTTCTTTAGGTACGTAAGTTATTGCTGCCTAAGAGCAAATGAAAATTTTTATATATTGCCTCAAAACTATCAAATTGGCAAAAATGTGCTCCACTGAAATTTGAATAATAAAAAATGCCATCTTCGATTTTTCTTAAAATATCGTAAATAGACAACCGAAGGCGACCATACAGTAATATAGAAAAACATGATGCATTATTTTGTTTTTAGCGACAATATTCGTTGTACAAATCAGAGCTTTTTGAGAATACGCTGATAAGTTGAGAAATCTAGAAATCGGAACGGAAAAGTGGCAATAAGCTTCAAACGCGAGTAAACGTGACCGCATTTGGTGAAGAAGGGCTATTTTAGCAGATAAGAGTAACTATTTTGAACACGGTATTATACAGTATCCGAATTCACTCTTATACGTAGATCACTGAGACTTCTCATATGTGGTGCCTCTCCATTACTGACACACAGATGGAGCTGCTGTGACGGCCATGTGTTTGCGACAGGTTGGGTAAAAGAATTGAATGTTGAATGAGTTCATAAACGATTCATAACAAATTTTTTTTATCATTTGGGGCACGAAGATTGCCGCATTAGACTGAAGAACACGCTTTCGGGCAAGTTGTCATCTGTCGTCTGCTCTACAGATGAATTGCTGTGCGCTGCATTTCGGACGCAATGCTTTAGATCATTTGGTTCAAAGTAGGGACAAAGATTACGCCTCCCGTAATTCTATCGACAAAAACATTGTGAAATTCATTTTAACGTACTATACTTCCGTTCTGCATTCGCACTGTGGATTCTTGCGCACAAGTATCCACACTGCGCACTGTGGAAACTTGTGACGGCGTCATAGACGTAAGTGACGTAATAGACGTAAGTGGCGTCATAGTGACGGCGTCATAGACGTAAGTAACGTTTTCGATGCGCAGCTTGTCTACTACAAGCCTAAATGGCTCATTTTGAGTTCTGGCAAATGCTATTAGCTTTCTGCGGCTCTGTCGCGTTGCCAATGAAAAATCTTCGCGTATTGAAAACGTTGTGCCCTTCAGAATTTGGGCACGTGACAAGATTTAGTCCTTATCTTTAAAAAAGGTAATTTTGGCAATGATTGGTCGACACTTTCCTTTATCATGTTTACCCAATCTATGAACCCTTTCAAACTGAGTACCAGTGAGTGTAAGATGCAATTTTTCAGAACAAATTTTAATAATTTTCTGTTCAGAGGCTGCCGAATCTTCATTAGCATTGTCTTCCAAACCGAAAAAGAGTAGGTTGGATTGACGCATCCTATTTTCCGCTTCATCACATCGTGAAGATATTGACGTAAGCTGATTCGTAAATCCTCGCACTGTGTCTGCAGCTGTAGCCTTAGAACTCGTACCTGCTGAAGACTGTGCCTCATCAAGTGATACCATTTTGTACTTGAGCGCTTAATCTCATGTTCAGTTGACTTCAGCTTTTCAGACATATCGCGAAGAGCTGGTTCTGTATGTGGGGTTTAACAGCACAAAACCAGCATATGATTATGAGAGACGCCGCAGTGGAGGGCTCCGGAAATTTAGACCACCTGGAGTTCTTTAACGTGTACCCAAATCTGAGCAAACGGGCCTACAATATTTCCGCCTCCATCGTAAATGCAGCCGCCACCGCTGGGAATTGATCCCGTGATCTGCGGGTCAGAAGCCGAGTACCTTAGTCCCTAGACTACCACGCTAGGGCAATCATTATGTTCTTCAAGGCCTCAAGACGGTGATAGTGAGTTCTTTATATTTATGAACCACGTGACATGCACAGAAAGAGCCATAGTTCTATATTCCTATTCGAGCGTCCTGATTAACGCTGTTTAATAAAGTTGCACTAAAGTTCCTCCCATTGATTTCCGAGGCGATTGTTAAAAATTGTAACGAACACCACGTACGCTCAAATGCTTGGCATGCTTGATGGCGGTGTCGCCGCATTATTTAGCTCGTTCAATTCGCGGACTTCCGAGGTTCTGGCTTTTCAGGAATGAATGCTAGCAGATTCAAAAAAGATATGTGTATACCCTACTGAAAATTCCTACATGTACAGGACCTGTACATACGATGTTATTGGATACGGGGCATACAGGTGTCACGGGTCATACGGGTGGTACGGGTCATGCGGGTGGTGCGGGTCATGCGGGTGGTGCGGGTCATGCGGGTGGTGCGGGTCATACAGGTGGTATAAGTGTAACAAATGTATGGGTATTACAGGTTATGCAGGTGATATGGGTCGGATTAGCTATTTGGGTCAAAATTAACATGCAGTAAAAGAATGTATACATTAAGAAAGGCATGCTAGTTCATGAAGCACACAGTAAAATAAACAATGTAATGTAGGTATGCTGCAATGATATCAAATAAACACGATCAGGCTAGAGTAATGTTTTGACGACTCATTTATTTAGGTCGTTCAACATTTCAGCAATGAATCTGTTCATTTTTCTTAACCTCTCCATTGGTGCCGTTTCACTAGGTCTCCCAGCAATGTACTTGCTGAAGGCATCTGTAAAAATGAGCAGGAATATGTAGCAATTAGGGACTTGTCAAGAATGTTTGTTAATGCAAAAAGCATATGCAATTATTAGCTTAAAAATCTTTGTAAATTTACATTTAGGTTTTATGGTGAGTAAAGCTACGTGTACAACTATTATTATGTTGAATTCGACTGAGAGATCCAGAACAGCCGCCCAAGTCTTGAAGCGAGCACACGGCTTACACCGTTTTTAGATACTGTCAGTTGGGAAAGCCCGCTATGGAGGCGGCACCGACTCGTACACGCTCAGAGGGGCGCGGTGCTAACGTAGCTTTGAGAACGAGCTACCGCTGGCTTCCCGCGGCAGCGTTGAATTTGTTTTTTCCTTTTAGTTTGCTTGCTCGGATTACAGAGGCGGGAGCTTGAAGGTTAGATTTCTGTCACGCAAATCGTATTTAACATGGTACACAACAATCAAGCAAGCTTGAGTGAATTAGCAGTTTAACATAGTAAACATGCTGACATTCAGTGCGCCGGGCTGTCTAAGTGGCTATGCCTATGAGGAAAACACTTGTGATCAGCAGTACTTCTTCAAACCCCCCAATTACCCTGCAGTTCTCAAGGACTGAACAGCTGCTATTCCATGAAAAGTCTTGCAGGTAATGGTCAAAACATACATAAATAATCATACATTTCTTAGGTACAGGCCCGAACCTTATTTATCACTAAGTAGTACAGTCGAGCCCACATATAACGGCCCCACTTAAAACGAACTTTCGCTTCAAACGAACACTATCCGCGTGACCATGAAAATATATATTGGTTCAACGGCGCAAAATCGCACTTACAACAAACGTCTCCGAGCGCCGCTGATCGGTTACAGCGAACAGTCAGCGGTCTCCCGACTTCCCGGGAAACCAATTTCGACCACCGATCAGGCATCGGCGAGGTGCCTATACATTCTTATTTTTAAACGCTGACCCTGCCCCCGCGAGCCTCTAGTTGCTGCTCCCCAACCCATGAAGAAAGTGCCGACTGTTTTTTGTTATGCACCCCTCCGTCCTTTGTCCCCCCGCTACCCTGAGCCAGACGAGGCCCGCGTTTTCACACTGCCATCGATCTTTCGAAGACCGGTCGGCCATCTACCCCGTTTTTAATCGCTGGTCCTGTCGTTGGCATCGCCGGCCTGGAGTGACCAGACCATTTGCCTACATCGTCGGCCACCGACTGTATCCGATAGTCTGCGTCTAGTGCACGGGCGTACGCTACCCCACCGACTCTGATATTTTGTGATTCGTTTCGTGTCAAGGACTTGTTCTCGCTCGCTTACCACTCGACTCGGCATGCCTTCCGCTCACGTGCGGAAGCACGAAAACGGCTGTTAATTTGCGCGGGACGAACAGCGAAATATCGAAGTTTGTGAGGCCACGCAAACTCGCCGGCGCAACAAAAAAATTTTTGACCACGGCTGCCGATTGTTCGAACACCCCCGCGCACTGATCCAGGCAGCCATGCTTTGACTTCTGCGCGCGCAGGCACTCTTTCCAAGTTTTTCTACGTGCGAGTTTCGTGGACCTATCAAGCAAGCTACCCAACCTGCCTCCTTCTCATGCGTTTTGGTTTTCAAGGTCGCCCTTCCGCCACATCCTCTCCTCTCTTGTCGCAATTTGGGAACTAATTTCCTGCTGTTTCACATGCAGAGGTAGCAGACGACGCTGCTTCACCAATCTCAAAGCGACAGCAGCGCCGGCTCCACCGGATACGAGAGGGGGCAGTCCTCACGGCTGCGACAGCGCGTGCTTACCCAACTGACAGTATCTAAAAACGTCTTACACCAAGCCAAATCTGCCACTGGAACACATGAATGCTGTGCATGGGGTGTCCAGAAGCTGTTTATGCTTACGACACTTAAACCGGCTCCTGAACTTTTTCGACGTAGCCGATGATCTTCGGGCATCTGCACAGCCGGTCGGGCAACTTGTTCTTAAAATTCACTTTCACACACGGTTTGTGGGCGCTGCTGCTACAACTGTCAAAACTTAACCGCCAGTTCATTCAGCAAAGTCAAAGGATGCCATTTTTAAAATGTAAAGATATTCATAGGGTGATGAGACACCACCTAAAAAAACGTTGAAGACAACCTTATTCCCCGATCGTACCAAAAATGACAGCCCTGCATTGCCGGAGTTCCAGAAAAATCTACCTTTGCCAGATGAAACAACATGGAAGCCCTATTGCGGAGTGGTTTGCTCCGAATCTGCCAGTAGAAAGCGGGAAAATGCTCCGAATCGACCAGGGGAACCCGGCAAGAAAATTTTTATCCTGCTCAACCAGTGCGATTCGACATTGACAGATGGTCACACTGCATTTGTTCAACTTTAAAATACTTGTCTACATACCGTATTTACTCGATTCTACCGCGCCCTCGATTGTAACGCGCACACGATTTCCACCGCGAAAAAAAAAAAAAACGTAAGACATCGATTGCAACGCGCACCCCCCCCCTTTTTTTTTTTTGCTGGCCCGCACGATCACACCACTCGAAAAAATGATTCCTTTCGGGATTGTCTTCCATTTAAATATGAAGTACGGGCAAAGCTAGTGCCCATCTGACGTGTAACAGAGCATTGCCGTCACTGTAGTTTTACCGTGGACCGATGTCAGCACGCGAACTTGCTTCGCCCCCTTCTTCTCGACAGTTGTGGTGCCAGGCATGTCGAAGTAAAGAGGCGTCTGATCGGCATTCCAGATTTGCCCAAGCGGGTAGCCGTTGTTGCGCCGCAAGTTTAGGACGAACCTCTGAAAACTGTAAAGCTTTTCATCGTACTTCTCCGCAAAAGTTTTCGCATATGCATGTTCCCCTTCGGAGGGAAGAGCCTTTCCTCTTCATATAGTTAATTAGCCAGCACCTGCTCGCTTTAAACTGGCTCCGCATTAGACTTTTTTCTAAGACTAATTGCATAGCCCGCACTTGAAGCAGTTCTGTCGTCACGGGCCGCTGTGCCGCTCGCTCCTCAAGCACATACTCGCGGAGCAGCTCTTCAATTTGCGGAAACCGACCCTGCTGTGGTTCACTGAAGCCTTTGCGTGAAGCTTTGCTGTCGACAATCTTCTGCTTTTGTTTCCGCCAGTCCCGCACGCACGTTTCGGGAACGACCGCGATGCGGCCCGATTTCCGTCCGTTTCTGCACACGCGATGACTTTTCTTTTAAAAGCGGCATCGTGGTGCACTCGAGTTTTTGGAGTCGGCCCTTCCACGTCGTCGATGCTAATGCACTACTAGATGACGAACTTGTCAGCACACGTACGAAGTGCCGCACATGGTAAACACATAGGCAGAAATAGCCGACGCACGTAGGGGGCGGCCGTTTTGGATTTGCGATGGCAATAGATTGACCGTAATTTTTTTGTTCGTACTCGATTCTAACGCGCATGCGATTTATGAACTCGCTTAACCGGAAAAAAGGTGCGCGTTAGATTCGAGTAATTACGGTACCACTAACAATGACTAGATGTATATTGATTAAATAAACAAACTGAAAATGTACAGGAGGCTAGCCTGACAATATAACCCCTAAATTGGATTGAAAAAAAAAACAACAAAGAAACAGCCATTTCAATTATAAAGTACACACCTGGCTGGTAGGTTCTTGAGAACCACTTGAAGTGGTTCCAGGGTGTGGTACCGGTGGCATCAATGCGCATGGCTGCATCCGTGGCTGCTCTGAAGAAGGCGACGGAGGCTCTGGTAGTAATAAGTGCTGCGGCGGTGGCAAAGGCAGCGTTGCTGACCACCCTTGTGGAGACAACGGCGAGCACGGCCATAGTGGTGGTGGCGACGGTGGCGATGGCTGCATGAACTGCAACGGCCTTGCCTGAAAATGCAAAAAAAAAAAAATCTAAATTACACTTTTGAAGCATACAGCTTTCTTTTTGCAAGTTGAATCGAATTTGTTTTTGTCAGTTTTATAATTGTATCTAACTTGTCTAAACTCACTCCATTATGCTTTTGTCCCTTTGTTTTTGGTGCAATACAGTGAAATCTCATTAACTCAAACATGCTTAATTAACAAATAACAATTCAGGGAACAGTGACAGCTCAATGTATGTCATCTAAAACGACAGTATTATCAACAGCAGTGCCCTACTTACCGAGAAATTGAGGTAAATGCACGGGAACAAATGCGCCGCAGTAGGACGTTCGCGAAATGATCCTTATGACGTCAGACAAACTGCCTACAATTAATCACTGGTAATCAAACTAGCTCGCTAAATAAAGAACCTTCCAAGTATCAAAAGACGTAAAAAAATGCTGCTTGTTGAGTTGTTTCTCATGAAAAAAGAACTGCCGGGAGTTACAATAGAGAATAGCGCAAGTGGTTAGAAAATTCAACTTTTTCCTGGTTAAACTAGACAGGCCGTGCCATCTTTAGCCAAAACATGTCTGCCATTTCGGAGCCTATTGTAGGAAATTGATCGATGGCCGCTGTTGCTGATGCGGCTCCTGGTGCTTTAGTTTCGCTAGTAGTGTCGGCGACCGTACAATAAAAAGCCGGGCAACGTTGTGCACGGCAACAGTGACGTGAGACTTTCCGCTTCTTGAGGCGGGTAAATTAAAGTGCACTAGCTGATACAGACCACTAAAACACGATTTTATTTCAAAATAAGCACTTCCTTGGCACAAAAGGCTTCTGGACCGGTAATCCAACAATAAAGGTCGACAACTTTGATTCTCCAGCTCCCACATTTGCCTCAACTGTACTGCTGACATCACTTCAAGTCGACCTATGAGAAGTCTCCGTTAACAAAACATGGCAGCACAGCCATGTTTTCCAAGTCATAGTTGAGTGAGGTTTGTAGTACCATACTGGTTCGATTGTGCCACCATAAAGATATTTCCTCTTTCATAAGTTGTGCAGCAATGTGTGATGATGCACACAGTTGACTGAATATTGCATCGAAATGTTTTGAAATCGGCATGTCTAATCATTACTGAAGCAGGAAAATAACAACTGGGCACAGCTTCAATCCCCTTCACGGCTGCTTTAAAACAACAGATAACGAAAATCTTCCTTTTCCTTTAAGTCGATTGTATTGACCCGCCACGACTCCCAACAGCTTTCTGCACTCCCAGTTGTTTCGCAAGTGCCTCCGGGATAGGCAACCTTAGAACAAGCAATGACATCATGTGACGTCGTGATGACACGACCAATTTGGGAAACTTATTTCTGATGCCACGACGATGGCATCACAAGTTATTATTTGTCACTTTTGTTGGTGCTGACGGCCACTTTTCGCACTTGATGAAGCATCTTAATGCGTTGTCATAAGCTCATACCTTCTCTTGAATGCTCCTGTGGGTGGCCTCATGTTCATAGGCGCCATGATTAGTAGATGTGCTGCATTGGTGGCCACAACAGGAACGGCTGGCCAATGTTTCTGTAAGAGAGCAAATGTGAAAAATAAACAGCGCACATTTCTTAATTGCATCCTGAACGAAGCATTACTTTTTCAGAACTTCAATATATTACAACATGATTAATACAAACATAATTATGTTGTATTTGCTCAAAGCTACACCAGCGCGTCAGGCTGATATTTTGCCCGATTTTACCGGAGGGCTTTTTGCTAAAATCCTCGGGTGCCATAAAACTCTTTCATACTCTGAAGTGCTCCAACCATATTGCCTTACCAATTTACTCTCTAGAAAACGTGTTATAAACAAAAGGAAATTAATCCCATGCATAGTGTAGTATACATTCTACTCAAAAAGATGGGTGAAGTTGAGATATTGACTGAAGGCTGTTAGGGTGAGAACATGATAAATTAATGACACCAACCATAAAAAGGAATACAAATAAGACATTTCAGCTCTCATGATGGGAGTCTTGTTCAGAGTGACAACTAGACGGAGTGAAATTATGCTTATGAGGACTTCAAAAGTGACTCAAAACCGCGAGTGTAGATAAGAATGAAGGTTCCATGTGTTATCAATGGTTCCATGTGTTATGTGTATCCATTGTTTAAATCAGCATTGATTGCAAGTGGTGTCCTGAAGAGTTTTTTTTTTCTAAGCTTATGCTGTTATGCTAATCTATTTTATTGCTCAAGTTTTCAGGGTGTTTTGCCATTGATTGATATGTGGGGTTTAACGTCCCAAAACCACTATATGATTATGAGAGGCGCCGTAGTGAAGGGCTCCGGAAATTTAGACCACCTGGAGTTCTTTAACGTGCACCCAAATCTGAGCACACGGGCCTACAACATTTCCGCCTCCATCGGAAATGCAGCCGCCGCAGCCGGGATTACAACCCGCGCCCTGCGGGTTAGCAGCCGAGTACCTTAGCCACTAGACCACCCCGGCGGGGCAGGGTGTTTTGCCAAGGCATTGGAAGACACCTTTACCTCGTTGACATCATTTTACATGCTGTCTGACCTGATGTTCGAAATTTCCAGTCTCACTGATATCTACACAATCACAGTCTACAAGGTATCCAATAAGCATCAAGATACCTTTCTTTTTTGTCCTTCATCTTTACCAGCCGATAATGCAATTTGTAGGAACGGAACTACTTGGACATCGTAATGGTTTTTGAACTAGTGCCTGACTCGCACGCATCAGACACGTACAGTATAGCGGCACGTTTTCTTGGGAACACACGATCAGATCTTTGCGGCTGAAAGAGCTGGCGTTTAACCAGAGTTCGAGTAGCCGGATGCTAAGAGATCTCTGTGCACTTGCTGTAGGTCAGCAGCCCTGCTAGTCTGCATTGTGCAGATGCTATTGGTTCTAGCGACAAGTGAGACAACCACCGATATATTCTGGTTTGTCAGTTGCACCAAGTCAATGCCGGTACCTGATGTTGTGTGTTTTTTTCTGCAGACGGGAAACTTCAAACTGCGCTGGTCACATTTGACTAGGACTAGCAAGCGTGTGGCCGCACTTGCTGTCTTCCAGAAATGCTTTGGAGAAAGAAGTATCGTTGATGGCACACGGCACCACACACCAAATGTTTTGGTTGGTTTGTGGCTTCCTCGATAAGTTCCGATTTTTCAAATAGATGCCGCAAAAAACAAGAAAAAAACCGAGAAAAAAGAAGCACTGTCGTTAAATTGGCATGAGGGAACACATTTTAAAAACGACGCTGTTGGTTGGCGCCCATTGTGCCATATTCAATGCTCCTCACTGCTGGAATTCAAAATGGCAGCATAACATTATTGGCAAGCTCCCAAGCAGGTGATTATTCAAACACATTCCAGTTCTGCATGCACAATGAAATGCGGGTAGAAAAGCAACTAGCTCACTATCAAGAAGGTAGGAGTCAGTTATCCCCTGAGAATAAATGTAGAAATGGTGGGTGCATATCTCGCCACACAATGCTAAGGTCACAGCATGTTTTTTTTTTTGCCATTGTAAACACGTCCCAGCTCATTTCCAAAAAAAAAAGTAACCACATACCCATGCCCTGGATAGTATTGCGATACGGGCGATACATCGTAAAAGTATTTCACTACTGAGATACAAATACATTTTTAAGAAGTATCTCGATACAGCAATACAGACACTCAAAAGTATCTCTGAAATACTATCGCGATACTGCCCAGCCCTGCTCTTGAGACAGTTGTACACTAACAACTCCTCTAAGTGTCAGACAATTCAAACTGTTCCTTATAGTTTTCAAAGGCAGTCCTTTCTAATGGTCGATTCCTACTAAAGAGATTCATTTTTGTTACGGAATTTTTTTGAAGAAAACTAATAGTTCCAGCAGGGTGGGTCATGACGCTATATGCTCCTCTGCTAAGCCGCCTGAATCCCCCCCCCAGGTACATATGAATATAATGAGAAAGAATGCACTTTGATGGGTGGTGTCTGATGGCATCGTGCCTGAAGCCACAATTTTTTCTGTTACCTTGCTGGAGCCGTCTAGAGTTTGGTGAAAAAGGGTAGGAGGAGCGGAGTCCGTTCATACAGAACATATGCTTTGCTGGCTGCTGTTTCCTGCTAGTGCTGCTGTAACTACTGCACTGTCGTAGAAGGAAACAACATTCACCAACTATCACAGCTGTTTCCATACTAAGTGGCCACTCTCTCATCTCACACAAATCTGATTCTATAAAGGGCTGCATTGTTTTGGTTTTCTTAACTCTGAACGTCCGATTTCTCGGACTACCGAAATCCTGGACATGCCTGATTTCTCGGACTGATCTGTGGCACCATCAAGTTCCCCATACAGTCAATGTATTAAAAAGTCCAAAATTTCGGACATTTATAGCTTTCACCGTCCGATTTTCCTGCTAACTTTTTACTGCTAACAGCGGAATTGAAGTCACAATCAGCACCACTATTTTGGTTCTTTTCGTACCCTCGAACCCACTGTGACGTGGCTGCCATACCTCTGACACCGCAAATGCCGGAATCCAGCACACGCAAATTTGTAGCCAGCCGTGGCTTAGACAAACTTGTGGCCACAACTGCATGGTGCTGTTACTAATGTTACTATAAGGCTGTGATTCGGCGGGAAAGCTACACTGTTGACCTATAGTCTGCCGCCGGCATGCTTCCCGACTCATAGAAGGCGGTAACACAACAGACTCCCAGGAACTGTTTTTGCCACGCCAGCTTTAAAATGTATGCCGAGACGACAGTCTCACCTAGAGAGGGCAGCGTGTGTAAAGAACTTCCAAATGCGGTCGTTGCTTCAACGACCCACACAGTGCTGGTGTTTCGATTTCAGCCAAGATAACCTTGGAGGGCTTTGCCGACGCTAGCGAAAATCTTGAGCTGTGTGCGGAATTTACCGTTGATGAAATCATTCAAGTTACTAAAGGTTTCGACAACTCCGACACATAGATCAAAGAGGCAGAGCCTACACGGGCAACAAGTTCGGTGTTGACGCGAGCATGACATCGTCATAGGTGTACAGTGACAGCATGACATCAGCTGATATTGAGGCAAACATAATCGGGGCAAGTGGAACTCCGTGCAAACGAAAATAAGAGAGTCCTTTTAGCACTTAATTTTCACAAATGCAGTAGCGTCGGTCACATAAAATTTTTTCTTTTCGCTTTTTTTTATTACAAACGGCTCTTTTCGGGGCAACCTAAATGATGCACTTGCTGAATTGCAACGAGAATCCTGTACTCCTGCTTTGACCTTTTCCGCCAGTGAAAAATACCTATTCAAAAAGTGTAATTTTACTTGCATTCGGTTTTCCAGACTGCCTGATTTTCCGGACCTTTCGCAATCCCTTGAGTGTCCGCGAAATCGGATGTCGACTGTACAACATTAATCCAAAGGGCTATTTCAGGTACTACATCCTTATTGTGGAACAAAAAGCATCGAAATAACATAAAGATGCCAAAGTAAATGTGTTAGGGTACACATAACCACAGCACTCACCGACTGCATGAAAATTTAAAAAAAAAATCTAAAAGGCAGCATGGAATAAATATAACTTACTGAGTTCGTTTTGCAGCATGTCTTGCAGCATGTCTTGCAGCTTGTCATTTCTTTTCTCGAGTACTTCTATTCTTTCCTCTAGTCTTTTGTTTTTTTTCTTGAGCTGCCTCGTAATGTTCCTCTCTTTTTCGAGCCGACTCAGTTCGACAAGCTCTTCTTCGGATCTCGCACTGCTTCGGCGCCTCTTTGTTCTTGGTTGCTGATTTTTTTCTTTTTTGAATACTAGTAAATAATAAACATCATACTAGTAAATAAACACATCAACCCAAAGCCAACATCACTGATTAGAAGCCGAAAACGAGCAAATATGCCAGGAAACATACACGCACCATTGATACAAACATAATTCAGGTTGTAGCAACTACCTAGCATATGAAGTTCAGTAGGGTTGAAAGCTGGGCTAGTTGGTGAGATATCATTTCAACATATGGTATAGTAGCGCAACCTCGACGAGGACCTGAGGACAAGAAAACCCGCCACTGTTTGTGAGACTAGCGAGTGCAGTGTTTTCTTGTCCTCAGTGTCCCCATCAAATTTGCGCTACTACACCATATGTTAAAATGATATGTAGCATATTCCAGCCATGACTAGTGAGCATTCTAACACCCTGTCACACAGCAAATCTAATGTCCTTCGTTTGCAATATCCTTTCTTTGCTGTCACACGGGGAAACTAATGCCATTTGATGAAAACGACCTTTTCTGTGGAACGAGTTCCTGCAACACAATCGCATTCGATTTCTGACTGAGTAGTCTCAATGTCAGGGACTTTTAGGGAAATGGCTATAACTTCAGTATATATACATTTTATAATTTATGAAGATCTCGTTCCTTACTAGCTCAACTTATTACTGGTTTGATGACATGATAGCAGGTGCAAAAGTTAAAAAAAAACAAATTAAGGGATTCAAGAAAGTGCTTATGTAGACGCACAGATGTGCGTCTACATAATTATGTAGACGTGCGAGGTAGATGTGCGTCTACAGAATCATGGGCATTCAAGAAAGTGCTTAAGTAGACGCACAGATGTG